TCTCTCTCCTTAAGGGGAAATGTCACCTGATTCCACGCCACACTAGCGTTCACCTTACCTCCTGCTCCAATGCCCCAAAGAAAGTCAATGCATATCCTTTCTACCTCAGCAAGAATCGTCTTTGGCAGCAAGAAAACAGTCATCCAATACTAAGTAACGGTCATCAGAACAGAATTTACCAACTCCACTCGACCAACATAACTTAACGACTTTGCTTTCCATCCTCTGATTCTACACAACTATCTTTTCAATCAACAAACGACAAGTAGCAACAAAAAGCTTCCCCACCACCAGAGGACCGCCCAGGTACTTCACAGGAAACACACTAAGTTTGAACCCTAACCTCTCTGCCATCCTATTCTTTTGGTCCACATTGAGACCAGCACAGAAAAACTCACATTTTCAAGGGTTAAAACCGAAATCCGAAAATTGCTTAAATCGCCACAGAACTCGCTGAACACACAACAAACTCATATTGGATCCATTCGTGAAAAATATGAATAACTATTAATTCTCCATTGTATTAATAATCAATAATTTACATTTTATTTTCACTATTATTCTCTCTTCGTTTAATTCTGTTAAAAATCCTACGTGTTCGTAATCAGTCCTAAGTAGAGATGGCAACGGGGCGGATCGGGGCCGGGTACCCCGGATCCGTTGCCCACCCACCATGAGCCTCGGGTATCCCCGTCCCCGGCCCAAACGGACATTCGGGGCATGTTGGGCAACCATCTCAAAACCCAATGGGTATTCGGGTGCCCGCGGGTCCATTATACCCGCTAAAACATGAAAAGAAAATTGAAAATGACATAAAAATTCTGGAAAACTGGACTCTTCTCACTGTATTATTAATAACTGATCTGTCAAAGAATCAAAAGGACTTGAAATGAAAAACAAAAAGCTTGCCAAGCTGCAATTGATGCCACTACGCCAGCAGCTCAGCAACAACAACCAAAAACAAACATTTATTTCGTGTTTATGATAGAAATTATGAAATCAACCGAACAAGCAACAAGTATCAGCTGACTCTAAATTCTAAATGTCTAATTCTTAAGAAAAAACTGTAGAATGAAATGTGTTCCAAGCAGCAGCAGCGCAACAACATTCCATCTAGGTTCCAGCAACATCGAATCATTGAGCAATCTGCAATCATCCACCCGACCACCCCTGACCCTCATTCCAATCGATGTAAACCAGCAGTCTAGCAGACATCAATTGAAACTGTGTAAAGAACATACAAGAGGAATGAATCAGTTAGTAAATGTCCAATGAATAACACGTCTGCATCAACGACAACAAATAAAGAAGACCTTTAGTCCTTTACCTTGGTCCCACAGCAGATTACCAATCAGTCTTCATGGGCAAATGGTGATCTCATTAAGGTGAGTTCTAGATCTGAAAAAGCGAAACAATGCAAGGGTAAGTATTCCTATTAGAACACACAATGGAAAAATGGAAAAATGATCTATTGATCTTACCACCAGGTTCTGCCTCTTCCACAGTTGTATCTTCGACTGTCATTGTTGAGAAGAGTCCATCAAATGCCTCCACAGCAGCCTCCGAATCTGCATAGAACCATTTCAATGAGTGCATACTGTTGTTAAAACGTAAAACAATAAACTTGAGAGTTTTAGTTGCATGTTACCTCGTTGCATGTCCTCCATTATCCAACTCCTAGTACACATTATTGCCTCAACAGTCGAATAATGCAGCCTGCTCTGGTGAGGGTCTAACAACCTCCCACCAGAACTAAATGCACTCTCAGAAGGCACAGAAGTAATAGGGATTGCCAGAAAGTCCCTTGCAATTGATTGCAAGGTCGGATACTTCAAACCATTCAATTTCCACCACAAGAGCAGATCAAACTCTGCTGTGCGAGGAATGATATCCTCAGCAAGATACATATCCAACTCAGTTGTAATCAAGGAAGTCTTACTCTTTTTCCTTTGACTTACAAAGAGTTCAAAGTCAAGTTGAGTGGCAGAGGCAGATCCACAACCAGAAGAAGTTCCAGTTTCAGAACCATATTTGTTCTCAGCTTTGGTTTGATAATCACGAATCAAACCACATATCATTTGCTTGATATTCTCAGCAACCAAATCAGTTTCTGTATTCCCAAACTTTCCAGCATAGTATTCAATCACATGGAGTTTATATCTAGGATCCAAAACAACCGATACAGCAAGCACAAGATGGATATCATCCCAATACTTATCAAACTTCATGGACATTTGACTAGCCATTCCAAATATCACAGGATTGGGACCAACACCCCACTCATTCAGTTTAAGTCTGAGATCACAAATCTTGGGGAAAAACAGATTGGCAGTGGGATATTTAGAACCAGAGAACAACTCAGTAATCTCAGAAAATATTTCCAGCTTCCCAATCACAGTAGAAGCAAATTCCCATTGTTCACTAGAAGGAACTGATGTGTAATGATTGTCTCTCAAACTCAAACGAAAGAACACATCCTTGTAGGGAATAGCAATAGAGAGCATATGATAGGTGGAATTCCACCTAGTTGGACAATCTAGGACTAATTTTCTCTCAACAGACAGCTTAAGTTGCTTAGCAACTTCAAAGAAGGTTTGAACCCTCTTAGGTGTAGAATTCCAGTAAACTACACTCTCCCTAATCAAATTTATAGCATCCTTGATTGCATCCAAACCATCCCTTACAATCAAATTCAGAATATGAGCAGAACACCTCATATGAACCAATTTACCATCAAGCAACAAGTCACTGCTCAGAAGCTTATTTCTCATGTGGAAAATCATGGAATCATTGGTGGTACAGTTGTCCAATGTGATTGAGGACAACTTACCATCAATGTTCCAATCCAAAAGACAATCAAACAACCTATCAGCAAGCCTTTCACTAGTGTGAGGGGCTGGAACATACATAAATCTCAGCATTATGTTACGCATCTTCCAAGAATTATCAATGAAGTGACCAGTTACTGCCATATAACCCCTTTTCTGATTTCTGGCAGTCCACAAATCAGTTGTAACATAAACCCTCCCCAGATTACCATCAATAATGGTATGATATTTACCTCTTTCAACACCAAACAAACTCAAAATGTCCTTTTTGACAGTGTTTCTACTAGGAACAGCGAATTGAGGTTGAAGAGAACAACAAAAACGTTTGAAACCCACATGATCAACAAGGCTAAGGGGGTACTCATGGACCAGAATCATTGAACAAAGTTCCTTCCTAGAAACCTCATAATTGTATTGAGAAGCAGAGAGTTGAGGATTTCCAGCAGGTTTATAGTTAGGGCCAAGTATTTTTTGAGAACCATCATGTATCCTATTTTGGATACATGTTTTGATATGGCTTCTTAGGTGTGAAGTTCCATTACTTGTTTCCCCACCAAGGGATTTACGACAGTACTTACACCTAGCCTTCATAACCCCATTAACCCTAACTCGGTTGAAGTGAGGCCACACATCAGAGGTTAACTTACGTTGAGCTTCAAGCTCCTCAACATTACCAGGTTGTTCAGGTTGAGGTTGGACAGGTTGTTCAGGTTGGACAGGTTGTTCAGGGACATTGACATTGGGAGCAAGGTCAACATTTATAGCAGTAGGAGCACCTTCCATCTGAACATAAAAAAATTATGTATTACTACTTAAGCAGTTAAGCCTTAGTTATTATTTATTAACTTAGTTACATTCACAATGACAAGACTACACTTGCGAACAAAAATCTTTAGCATCAAAATCACGATTACAGTTTCATTAATTTTACTTATTAGCATTATGAATTCACCGATTGTCACAACAAGTCGCAGCATTATAATCAAACAGACAAACACAGTGAGTTGAGGCTTAGGAGAGGAGGACGGGATTACCTTCTCGGATTGTAGTTTTATGTGGACTGTCGAGTACCCAATGACAGTAGACTGACCCTCACTGCTCACTGAAGTGCTCACTGACTCTGTTCCACTTCAGTTCTCGAAACCAGATCCAAAGTTCCAAACGACCGAGACCAACCTAGGCCAAACAAGCGTGAACAATTACAACGAACACAAAGCAAGTTAGAACTTAGAACTGCAAATGAATGCATGCATGTCTGTATTGACACCACTAACCCATAAATTAATAAAAAGTATAGACGAGACCAAGCAACTTACCCTCGATGACTGGACTCTGTCTGGAGGCTCGGCTAAATCCCTCGATCTCTGCTATCTCAGTCTCTGTGGACTCGACTGGGGTGGTCTTGTTCTCGAATTTCAGAAGACGGCGTGGTGAGAAACGACCCCTACGCTCTGAATCCCCCTAATATATACCAGTACAAGAAGAGTTAGCATAGAGTTGGGGGAACGGGGAATCAGGGAAGATAGGTGAAAGAAAAGAAAGAAACCCAGAATTAACTTATCTTTTCGACTCGAAGAATCCGTGATTTGAACTTCGAACGACTCGTTTTTGGACTGCGGCCGACGAAATCTTCGTCGGATGGTTGCTCTCCGCCTCGTCCAGCCATGCAATTGGTCGAATGGAGGAATTGATGAGGGGGAATGGCGAAAAATCGGCCAGATCTCGATTATCTAGCGATCTGATCGCTAATCGCTACAGAGGAGGCAGAGAGATTGAGAGGAAGAAGGAAACTAGGGTTTCCGTTTTTGGTGAAGAATGAAATCTGAGACGGCTGCTAGGGTTTCTCAAGGGAAAGTGGAGAATATATATGGCCCTCCAAACGTCGTCGTTTTTAGCACGGGTAACCCGTCGGTCGGGTCGCGGGACGGATACTGGACGAACCACAACCGCCCGAAACCCATGGTTGATGGGTAACGGGTTAACCGCCACCCGTTGACGGGCCCGAAAATACAACCATCCTATGCCCTTATCGGGCGGGCCTCGGGCGGATACCCACTTTTGGGCCCCGGCCTGCCATCCCTAGTCCTAAGTCCTTTATTATTATTTTTTTTTTTTTGTCAAATCAGTCCCAGGTCCTAAGTCTTAATCGGTCATTATTTCCTTCTAAAACTGCTGTGCAATGAATTCTCTCTGGTTGGGTTCTGGGCCCTTTGGGCCGGATACCCGAACTTCAGTTCCATCGTTTCCCCCTGCTCTGTTCCTTTCCGTCCGTTTAATGGAGAGGAAGTAGGAACTGTGGAGAGACGAGACAACAGAACTACCGGCTGGAACACGCCTGGAGAGGTCTGCTCTGTCGCCGTTCCCGCCGCCGCCATGGCCCTCCACAAGAACAAAATGATCGGTCTGAGACTCCTGACTCGCTTCCTCAGCTCTCCGGGCCAGAAAGGCTTCCAGCACACGAATCCTCGGACACTCGAGACCCTCGCTTTCGAAGAGGTGCGATCATCTTCCACAGACAAACCCCACACTTACACGGCTTTCGTTCTCCATGGGCTCTTGGGATCCGGACGCAACTGGCGCGCCTTCTCCCGCAACCTCGCTTCCTTCCTCTCCAAATCCTCCCCTCCTTCTGGTACCCCGTCTTTCTCTCCTCCCCTCTTCGATTCACATTTTTTTGTAGAAACTCCAATAATTGTACATTGTTTATGTTGATTTCCCTGGGTGTAGAGTGGAGGATGGTGCTTGTGGATCTGAGGAACCATGGGAAGTCTGCGGAGGTTGAAGGACTGGACCCACCTCACAACATGTTCACTGCAGCGAAGGATTTGGCGAATTTGGTTAAAGCTCAAGGTTGGGATTGGCCTGATGTTGTTATGGGACACTCGATGGGAGGTAAAGTGGCGCTGCAATTTGCCGAGAGTTGTGCTCGTGGTGATTATGGGGATTCTGCTACGTTGCCAAAGCAGGTATCCTTTCCTCTGTTCAACCTTAATTGACCTTATGTTATGGCCTGAGGTAATGAATTTAGTTAGGTGCCTTTCACCTGAGATTATGCATATGAATGCTTGTTAGGTCCTTGTGTCCATCATTGGGTGGTGGCAATCTGGTTTTTGCAACAAGGCATTGTTCTTGTGAGTTGTGTCTTAAAATTTCCGTAGGATATGGTTCATTTTTACCGCAAGATAAGATCACAGACCTTCTGAAAAGCACTCATTTCCATTACAAAATCTCCATTGCCTGTTGTGTTGACAGAATCGAATTAAGACACATCATATTTTGTCTGTTAATGCAAAAGTTGGGTTTTCACAAACGATTTTGCGGTAAAGGGTTGTTTAGGCGAGGCCAGTATATGTTAGAGGATCCATGACAAATCCACAATGGTCTTTGGGATCTTACTGTGTGCACTTCATGATCTCTTTGGGGGACGAGTTTTTCGCTAGGGGTTTCAGTTCTAAGGGTTTGATGATCCTTTTTAGATTTGAAGACAATAGTTGATTCTTTGTTTGACCTCTTAAGAGTGCTTTTTATATTGTTCAGTTTCGGGAGTTTTTAACTATTTTGTGCTCTTAGTAATGAGTGTCCAGAGGGTTTGTCATATGCTTTGTTACATACCAAGAGAATACTGATAAGAGAGGGCTTGTCTCTGATTGGCGTTTGATAATATCGATATTTAATTTGCATGGAAGGAAATTCTTCTGCTGTTATCATTTGTTTATCTGATGCAGAACAGCTGTGGGTGCTGGATTCTGTCCCTGGAAAGGTGAGTACAGATAACAGTGATGGAGAAGTAGAAAAAGTCTTGAAGACTTTGCAGAGTTTACCTTCATCAATTCCATCAAGAAGGTAGAGTCTCTATGGCTCTCTCTGGTTCTGTTCTTTTGCTTCTATTGTCGCTTATAGGTAGGGTTAGGTTCCACAACCCCCCCCCCCCCCCCCCCCCCCCCCCCCCCCCTCTGGTTGTTAAGTAATGGTTAGGATTTAATTTCTTTTCTCCTTAAGTGATTGATCTCATACTAATGTGTGATCTTGGCTGCAGCTGGCTTGTAAACCACATGGTTGAGCTTGGTTTCTCAAAGTCACTATCGGAATGGATAGGCACAAACATAAAGAAATCAGGGGAACTGGCGACATGGGCTTTCAATCTTGACGGAGTAATCCAAATGTTCGATTCTTACAGGTAAGTATTCATCACTGACCACCACATGTTTCGGTTTTTAGTTCATCTCCTTTTCCTGCTTCTCCTCCTCCCTCATTTGTTTTGAAAGAAAACCCACTGATATCTGTAGGGATACTTCATATTGGTCTTTGTTGGAACATCCACCGAAAGGGATGGAGATAGGACTTGTAGTTGCAGAGAACAGTGACCGTTGGGAGCCGGATGTGCTCCACCGAATAGAAAGCCTTCCCGCAAGGGAAAGTGATGAATCGCAAGGAGCATTTTCACTTCATGTTCTTCCCCATTCAGGGCATTGGGTTCACGTGGACAACCCAAAGGGACTGCTTGATATAGTGGCACCAAGGATTGCTTCCATCTCAGCGTAAATAAAGCAAGGAGGTGTCTGTTTCTAGTAAAAATCAAGAGTTGTGTATCTGGGGTCTGGATTGAGAAGATACTTTGGACATGTCTTTTGGATTGAACTTTTTTTGGGGGGAAGTTTATTTCTTTGGTTGTGGGCTTGTGGCCTCAGGTAGCCTCCGGATCAGAAGAAAATATATGGCTTTGTTAATCTTGTTTCGTTTGGATTAATACTTTATTTTGGCCGAACTATGACGGTACAATAACCTTAGACTTGTGGTTTCAAAAATTAACATACTGGCCTCAACTATGTAACACATTGGCGTAGCCAACAAAAAATTTTAATGGGGTCCAAAGATTAAAAAGAAGGGTTAATATTTTCGTATGGCCTGAACTTTGACCAAAATAAATATCCTGGCCAATCTTTTCGATCTATAACATCCTGGTCCGAACTATACACAAAAATAAACAATTTGGCCAAATCCTACTTTTGACCGTTAACTTGGACGGTCAAATGCATTGACCGTTAGCGCGCAATGTCACTGCCAAATCAACATAAAATATTTAAAATAATTCACAATTTCCACACATTCCCTAATTTTAAATTATTATAAATTTAAATAAATCATCTAATACCTTAGTTAAATCAAAAATAAAAAACAAAAAAATTAAATATTTATAAGATCTTCTGACTTGGCAGTGACGTGGCGCGTTGACCGTTAGTCAACGCGTTTGACCGTCCAAGTTAACGGTCAAACATCGGGTTTGGCCAAATTGTTTATTTTGGTGTATAGTTCGGGCCAGGATGTTATAGATCGCAAAGATTGGCCAGGATGTCTATTTTGGTCAAAGTTCAGGCCATACAAAAATATTAACCCTAAAAAGAAATACGGTATCCCAATGGCTAAAGTAGTGCTTTGGAAATGTGGGTGTCAGAATAGAAGCGTGCAATCGATAATCCAAACCAACACGAACGAACACAAATTTAACGTGGTTCACTAACACAATGTGTGCTAGCTAATCCACGGGCAGGGGAGAACAAATTTCATTAATTTGAGGAGAGTACAGGTTACAAACCAAATTCCTAACGGACAAACCAAACAAACTAACCTTATTGACCTTACTACAGACTAGGGTGATGAATAGTATTTATAGAACTTTTCTCATAATCCCAAACAGAAAACCAAATACATTTTCCCAAACATAAAAAGGAAAATGTCAAACAAAGCCCAAACACAAACTCAAACAAAATAGGTCCAAAACACAAAACAAACCCAAATCAAATTCAAGTCATATTCTAACAGTGGGGTCCATGGGTCGAATCCCCCAACCCCCTCCCTTGGTATTCCATTCTTTTTTAACGTGAGCTTCCTGTCCAAGTGGGGTCCACTACCCCCACATCAATCAATGTGGCTCCGCCAATGATGCAACATGTAGATTCAATTGGCCCGACATATAGTTTGACCGTCAATTTGGACGGTCAACACGCCATGTCATTGCCTCGTCAGCCTAAAAATCATTAAAAATTCAAATGCAAATTATTTTCCTAATTCCCATTATTTATCATTATCAAATTAACCAAAAAATAAAATTATAAAAATATAAAATAATTTTTATTTGAAAATGATAAATTTAATAAATTAACCAAAAATTATCAAATTATTTTAAATTTTTAAAATTGTATTTTTGGTTAATTTGAAAATGATAAATAATAGAAATTAGAAAAATAATTTGATTTTGATTTTTTTTAATGATTTTAAGGGGTGACGAGGCAATGACATGGCGTGTTGACTAACGATCAATGGTGTTGACTATCCAAATTGACGGTCAAACCATGTGTCGGGCCAATTGAGTCTATACGCTGTATAATTGAGGTCATCATATTAACTTTTAAAATCACGAGTTAAAGTTGATTATATGTAATAATTCATACCAAATAAGTTATTAACCCAATTTCAGTAGACAATTGTGGGATTCGGCGTTTACTTTCAGGCCCACATACATAGAAGCATACTTTGTCTAGAGTTGGCCATAACTTCGGAGTTCGGACCCGTTTGAAAATAGAGGAAACTGTCGGGATCTAAACCAATTTGCAAGAACTGAAACATAATTTCTCAAGTTTGAGAATAAAAATTGAATCGAATTGATCCAAGAGTGGAATTCGTCTGCTGTAATCGATGTACACTATCACCGAAATGAAAGGGATTAAGTTAAAGGGCTTGATACAAGTTCGAAGAGGAAGATGTTTGAATGTTTGAACAAGAATCTAAATTTAAGGGTTGAAAGTTACTTAGTTTAAATCACTGTATTGTAAAATTGTAATGCATGCATATATAGTAAATATATACTAGATGATGTGTCGCACTTTGTTGCGATGATTTGATTCGATCATTTAGTAATCGATTTTATATGACCGTTGATATGGTTTTATGAAGCTACAATGTGGAAATGGTGTTGGGGGGGTGGGTGGGTTTGATTATCGAGAATGGAATCTAATAAATGGAAAACTTGCATATATTACAATTTATGCAATAATGAAATTCACGTAACTCTATTTCGTGTTTTAATTATGGAGAGTTGTATTTTATATCGTTAAAACATTTAAACTCCATACCAAACACCTCATAACATAAAGTATGGTTTGTGGAGTTGTGGAACATCGTATTGGTGGATTTATGTAAAAAAGGATACACATGTGAATATTATTTGAGTTGCTGGAAAATTAATATTTGTTGGTGACTATTATGTCAATATTAATTGCCAAAATTTCTACCAATAAACATCAATCTATAATTAAGACAAATATAAATAAATAAGTACTTAACTATTTGGATCACACCTATCTGGATCCAAATCAAATAGTTATTTTGTCCCCTTCTGTCTCAACCTAGTTATTTTGCATTTTATTGACATTGAAAAATCATATTCAGTGCATAACACATCACATGATCTGTTGTGTATCAAAATATAAAAATAATGAGATAAAAGCGTTAAAACAATTACAACAAAGACTTAAAGCTACAACAAAATTAGTAATAGTGATTGCAATTTGAAGTCGTCTCGCCAAGTATTAGCCGACTTGATCCATGTTGGAGTATCTAAGCATGTGTACTACTTTCATCCTACGACGCCATGTCCCGCCCATTCTTTGTTTATCTCAATCTTTAACTTTATTTACCTATTTTTACTCACCATAAATCATATTTTCGCACAATGATTCTTTAGATCTCTTTAAAAAAAAGATTCTTTAGATCAAGGTTGTCGACTTGGTTTAGCCTGTTGGCCTGGTCGACCTAGTGGGTCAAGGGTTAATGGGTCAATTGATTTAACTTAACTTAGCACGGTTTAACTCAGATATATGAAAAAGTCATTATATTGTACATACATATATAAATTATATTAAATCTCATCTAACATATAGAAAATAACATATAACACTACACCACAACAATAGTTCGTACTTGAACTCAATGCATCAAACGTGCAAATCAGTGATGCTATAACCCAAAAGAAAATTCTAATTTCTGTTTTATTGATTCGGGCCCAAATGTACACATTTTACCCCTCATTTCTTATTAGTTTAGCTTAGTATTTCATCGTTCCTCGACATATTTCACGCTAGGTTGTGCTTGTTTTAATACATTTCAGGTCCTAGCACGTGTGGAAGAGTCGAGGTCGAATTTTGGGATAATTGGAGGTCAAAAAGTGCAAAAACCGAAAAAAAGTCCGAACCGTGACAATTGCCTCGTAATAGTGAAGTGAAGGCGTCCCAGGAAACCTCCGCAGTTCACGGCCAGAACGTGAACACTGAGGCATCCAGCGAGGTTCCTGAAGTTACTGACAACAAGGCAGTTCACGATCTCTAAGACCGTGAACTCTGGCCATTGACCGTAAACCCACGAAGCAACGCAGTGCGTTTTAGAGACGACTGAGTTCACAAACTCGTTTAGGTGTTCACGGCAGTGGACTAGCCAACGCATCCATGAACTGGTCACTTTCAGGCAAATATGTAGACAACCGCGGGGAGAGAGAAAGGGGAGCTGGTTTTTGGGGGAGAAGATTGGTTTCTCTCTCTAGGGTTTGCCCAAAAACACCAAAGGGGAGCTCTAGTGTGTGTGAGAGAGAGAGAGAGAGAGAGAGAGAGAGAGAGAGTGTGTTGGAGTGATCTTGGAGCATCATTGGAGGCTTGGGTGGAGATTCAAGCCTAAGAAGAAGAAGAAGAAGAAGAAGAGGATCTTAGCTCAAATTTGTAATCCCTCTCTCTCTCTAGAAACTCACTCTTTTCTCTTGGGTGTTGTAGATCCCTAACTAATACTTTGTAATTACTTGTTTAGATTGAATGATTGTCATTGGGTATTTTTTAATTTAATGATTGAGGTATTATTCACGTTGATTGTGCATGCTCGTGCTTAGCAATCTAAGGGTTGTGCATGTTTTGTGTTTAGCATCCTTAGGTTTGTGCATGTTGATGCTTAGCAACCTAAGGATTGTGCTTAGCATCCTTAGATTTTTGCATGTTGGTGCTTAGCAATCTAATTAGCCACTTTAACCTAGATTAGAGAGGAAAATCCCCCTTTTTAAGGGAGACTCAATCGAGTTGGTTTTCCTTTAACTTTTTAAGCCCCCTAACTAGGTTAATTGATGGCAAACCTCAATTTTGAATTAAACAAATTGGTTACGCATGATTAAGCCGTCGATAGACCATTATTTGCACATGTTTTGACCACCATTCTTGAACTGTTTGAGTGTCGATTCTCGTGTCTTAAGCCGATTTCACGCTAGGTTGTTCATTTATGTCATATTTCAGGACTTGGCATGGACGTGGAGGCGTGGAGACGAGTTTCGGTTCAAAAAGTGGAGAGTTGAAGCAGAAGGGGCTAGAAGGAGAAAATACCTGATCAGGCCCTAAAATACCCGACCAGGTAAACGTGAAGGAAGGACCGGGGAAAGCTGTTTTTGGGGACAGAGGATCAGAAGGGGCCCCGGTCGGAATGCATAAATACCCGATCGGGTATTCTGGATCCCGATCGGGTGTTAACCCCTACCTATTGCACGACGTTTTGGAAATACCCGGCATACCTCCAGAAATACCCGACCAGGTATTATGACCGGGTATCGCGACCTACACCCTTTTGAGGGAAAGAAGTCCACTTTTGATAGAGGATCCTATATTTAGAGATAGAGAGCAGAACCCTAGAGAGAGAAAGTGACGAACCAGAATCTCCAAGCGCCCTAGATCGATCTTCAACACCATTGGAGCTCGGTTGAAACATGGAGAAGTGTCGATTGATTACCAGAAGCAGGTTGTCATCCTTCACAGAAAGATTTCCCCATCTGAATCAGATTTCTC